AGGACCTGTCCCTCCTTGCAACATGCCCAAAGTATGACAGACGAGCCCCAGCATCCTTGCCTCCAAGGAGTTGCTTGGTTTAATCCTCTCCAGGATGAAGCTCTTTGTTTTCTTGGCAGTCCATGGCACATTCAATACTCTTCTCCAGCACCACGACTCAAAGGGATCAATTCTCCTTCTGTCCTCCCTAGTCATTGTCCAACTCTCTGATGCATAACAAGTGATAGCAAAGACCATGGCCTGTATCAGGCACACCTTAGTCTCCAGAGAGACACCGTTGCTCTTGAGTACTTTAGAGAGGTCCCTAACAGCAAACTTTCCCATCTCAATACGCTTTTTGATTTCCTGACTGCTGGTGCCAAGAGTGTTGACTGTGGAGCCAAGCAAACTGAAGCTGTGAATGATCTCAATCTCTTCGCCATCCATCCTGATGCTACCGATTGGTCCAGTGGTAAGAATCTTTGTCTTCTTAACATTGAGCCTCAGTCCATACTGAAGGCTGCAGTTCTTGACCCTCTGCAGCAAATGTATGAGGTCCTCCTCAGTTTCAGCAAGCAGGGTTGTGTCATCTGCATGATGGAGACTGTTAATAAACCTTCCACCAATCCTGATGCCACACTTCTCCTCATAGAGCCCAGCCTCCTGGATAATCTGCTCTGCATACAGGTTGAAAAGGTATGGAGACAGGACACATCCCTGGCGGACACCCTTCCTAATTTTGACAATATTAATAGACAATATTAATTAACAATATTAATAGAATCATGAGTAGTTTTGTGTTTTCTTTAGTTGTTTCAAATCTTTTATTATTTCAAGTGATAAATAACTATGTGTATTTTATTTTTATATTGGATTGTTTACAAAGTTTGTATACAATGTGTTTCAGACTACTTTTCATTCATATTGTGTTTCATTGTGTTTTCTTTAGTTGTTTCAAATCTTTTATTATTTCAAGTGATAAATAACTATGTGTATTTTATTTTTATATTGGATTGTTTACAAAGTTTGTATACAATGTGTTTCAGACTACTTTTCATTCATATTGTGTTTCATACAATTCATTCCCATACATTATGGTTTATAAAATTATCACTATTGGATCTTGCCCACAAATATCCTGTCTTGTCAGCTGGATCCTTCCCATTTCCTTTATGCCCTTCCTCCACCCATCAAACACTGCAACCCTGTCCTTTTTCTCCACTTATCCTTACTCCTCCACTCCCACCCTTCTCCTCTTTGGGTTCCCACACATATTTTATTAATAGTCCTTTTATTTATCCAGCAATGTTCTTATATAGTATTTGTTCTTGTGAGACTGAGCTAGTTTACTCTGTATAATGCTCTCCAGTCTCTTCCAAGTTATGTAGTTGTTAGGTGCCATTTAGTTGCCTGCAACTCATAGTGACCCTATGTACAACAGCCCTGAACCCTGCTCTATTTTGTGCCAATCTTATTATCTCTGACACACCTACCCCTATTGCCCCAATCACTGAATCAACCCATCTCATCTTACTCTCTTGTGCTGTCCTCCATCCTACCAAGCATGACGTCCCTCTCCAAGGACTGTTGTCACCTTGAAACATGTCCAAAGTATGTCAGACAAAGCTTCAGAATCCTCATCTTCAAGGAGCAGCCTGTTTCACCCTCTCTAGGATGAACCTGTTTATTCTTCTAGAAGTCCATGATATATTCTATACTCTTCTCCAGCACCACAGCTCAAAGGCATCAATCCTCCTTCTATCATCCCTAGTCATTGTCCAGCTTTCTATGGCCTGGATCAGGCATAATTTGGATCAGTCCTACTTTGGAGAGGTCTCTGACAGCAGACATTCCCAACGTAATTCATCTTTTAATTTCCTGGCTGCTGGTACTAGAGTGTTGATTGTGAAGCTAAGCAAACTAAAGCTGTTAACAATCTCAATCTCTCCACCATCTATCATGATGCTATCAATTGAAGTTATGTAGTACTTTTCGAAATTGTTGCTCCTGAGTGCTGCATAATAATCCATTATGTGAATGCACCACAATTTCTCAGTCCATTATGTTGTCATTGGACATCTGAGCTGTTCCCATGTTCTTATGATAGTGAATAACACTGCTATTAACATTAGTGAAAAATCTCCATTTATGTCACAGTTCTAGTTTCCTTGAGGTCTGTTTCTAGTAGTGGAATAGCTGGGTCATATTGAGTTTCTATGTTCAACTTTTTGAGGAAACGCTAAACTGTCTTCCAGAGTGGTTGTATAATTTCACAATCCCACCTCCAGTGCATGAGATTTCTCACCTCTCCACATCTTCTCCAACATTTATTGCTTGCTACCCTGCTAAATGTTGCCACTGCTATGTGAGTGAGATGGTATCTCATTGTGGTTTTGCTTTGCATCTCTCTTATAGCCTGTGATTTTGAGCATTTCTTCATGTGTCTGTTCATAGTAATATCCTCCTCTGTTAATTTGCCCATTCTCCTCATGTTATTTGCCCATTTTGTAATTGGGATATCAGGTTTTTTCTTCAGGGGGCCCAGGAGTATTCTGTAAACTTTTAAACGAGACCCTTGTCTGAGATAGTATCGCCAAATAGTTGTTCCCAGTTGGTAAGTTTTCTTTTCAGCTTGTTGGAAAAATGTTTGCTGAGCATAGAGATTTAATCTTTAGAAAGTCACATGCATCAGCTTTCCCTCTCCAGTCTGTGCGCTTCTGGCTGTGCTTGTCAGTCTCTTTATACCATAGACTGGGCTTTCTAAGCTTGGTCTCAGTTTGTCTCTTAAGAACTTGAGGACTTTAGTCCCAGGTCTCTGATCCACCTTGAGTTGATTTTTTTTGTGTATGGTGTGGGATGTAGATTCTGTTCACCTTTCTGTATGTAGCAGTCCAGTTTTGCCAGCACCATTTTTTGACGAGGTTGTCATTTCCCCATTTGATCAGTTTTATTTCCTTGTCAAATATCAGTTGAACATAGATATAAAGGTCTATTTCTGGGGTCTCAGTTCTGTTCCTTTGTTCTTTGTGCCTATCATTGTACCAGTACCATGCTATTTTGGTTACTATCACTGTGTAGTCGGTTGTGAGGTCAGGGAGTGTTATACCTCCCATTTCATTTTTGTTTCTCAGAAGTGTTTTGTTTATTCAGAGTCTCTTGCCTCTACAGATAAACTTGACAATTCCCTTTCAATCTTCTTGAAAAAAGAATTTGATATCTGTACAACAACAACAACATTGGGATTGTACTGAATAGGTAGATTGCTTTTGTTAGGATTGTCATTTTCACAATATTGTGTCTTCCTATCCATGACCAGGGCATCAAAAGAAATGTACTGATGAGGAGTTGTTTCAACAACTATAGAAGAAGGTGCAAATAATGGAAGAAACAATGGAAACCATTAAGAAGCAAACACTCCAGAGAGAGAGAGCCCGATGAAGTATATTGTTGAAGAGGAACTTAGACAATGATGGAAGGAAATGCAAAAGATAGAAGAAAGAATGGAAACTATAGAAAAAGAGGTACAAAAACTTTAAAAATCATCACAAGATAGAGTGGGTACAGCCAACACAGCAATGGATATAACAGAAATACATGAAAATTTAATCCACTATATTAAGACTGAAATGCAGAAGTGTTCAACATGATTAAAAGACAAAAATGTAGATCAGAAGAGATGGAACAGAGTCAGTGAGCTGGAAGACAAGAAGCTGAAAGAAATGAGACATTAAATGAAGAAAACTTTAGATTTATGTTGGATGATATTAAAAGGAACAACTCACATATGATTGGAATTCCAGAATATGAGAGGGACAGGGAAATCACTGAGAAAATTGTGGAAGCAGTCCTAGAAGAAAACTTCCCAGGTATTATGAAGAACGAGAAAATTCACATTCAGTAAGCTCAGTGAATACCAAATAGACTAGACCCCAAAAGAAAAACATCAATACACATCATCGTCAAATTCTCCAAAACAAAATGTAAGTATAGAGTACTAAGAGCAGCACGAGAAAAACAAAGAATCACCTACACAGGAAAAGCAATTAGACTAACAGAATCTTTTTAAAGTTGGTCTTGCATAAAACATTTAATGGCATCACTTAATGATTTCAATAAGGCCTACTCTCATGGAACATAATGTATAGGAATGGAACACAATGTAAATGAATTATTGTATGAAACCCAATTTTTTAAAAAAGTAAAAAAAATAAACTAAACCATCCCACCATATGCATTTATAAGATTTCCATTCTTCAATTCTTACATTTAATATCTGATGATAAATTAAGTCTATTAGAAAAAATGTTAAACCTACAATGTAAAGAATATACGTAATATATAATTAATGCCACTGAGTTATAGATTGAAAAACGGTTTGAGATGACAAAAATGAAAGAACCAAAGCTCTCAATTTAAAACACACTTACTGTCATAGGTCCTAGCTTGACTCTCATTAACAGATTTTTCTACTGGTTCTTATTCATTGCATAAATCAGGTTCTAACCAGTAATAAAATAATAACATTTATATCACTTGTTTAAAAACAAATCAAGATTAATAATAATTATCTTTAAATTAGTCAACTGACTATAAATAATTTATTATTTTAGTGAGCTCCTGAGGGGAAATGAAGATACTTAGTTGAAGGTTTTTAAAAATGACTAGAAACAAATCATAGCTAAATGATTCTTTATATTGAAACCCTTTTCTCCCCTATGGAGTCAATAGATCTTCAAGTAGAGGTTAATATCCAATTAATGGCACAGACTTAACTAAAATATTGTAAATGTGACAGGATAATACCTTGGTAAATATGTGAATTTTGAGAGCCACAGAATTAAAAGCTTTGATATGTGTAAGATCAATAGAAATGACTTATCACTATTTAATAGGAGTTTTAATTTTTAAATGCCTTGTTTCAGTGAAAAGGTGTACTGCACAGGCAAACTGAAATTTCAATAAGGAATCGAGACAAAAGAAACAAACTTTATGTTAAATTATCTTTAAGAGGTTATACTTACGCAGCAACCTCTTCTTTAGACAATCCTTTTAAATTCACCTCTATATAGTGATCTATTTCATCTTTTCTTTTAATCAATTGAGCCCTAGATGAAATGGAAAGAAATAATAAAGTACTGCATCATCAAGTTGAAAAACTACTAAACTTATAAAATGTTATTAAAATAACAGTTACTGTTGTTATGTGCCATTGAGTCACTTGAAACTTAAAGCGTTTCTATGTACAACAGCTGTGAAGCCTGCTCAGACCTGAGCCAGTCTCACTACATCCGACACACCTTACCCCAACAGCCCCAGTTACCATGTTAATCCATCTCACCTGGCGTCTTCCTCTCCTGTGCTGTCCCTTCTAAGCATGAAGTCCTTCTCCAAGGACTGGTCTCTCCTGACCATGTGACCTAAGTATGTGGGACAGAGCTTTAAAATCCTAGCCTCCAAGGGCAAACTTGGTTTCACCCTCTCCGAGACAGACCTATTTACTTTTGGTGGTCCATAGTATGTTCAAAACTCTTCTCCAGCACCACAAATCAAAGGAATTGATTATTCTTTAGTTATGTTTAGTCATTTTCCAAATCTCTGATGTGTAGCAAGTAATTGTAAATACCATGGCCTGGATCAGTCACACCTTAGTCTCTAGACTGATATCATTGCTTCTCAATACTCTGGAGAAATCTCTTACTCTGGAGAGATCTCTGAGAGAAGATTTTCCCCAGTGCAATACAGCTTTTGATTTGCTGAATGCTTGTACCAAGAGTGTTGACTGTGTAGATGAGCAAGCTGTAATTGTTAACAACTTCAATCTCTTCTCCATCTACCATGGTGCTGCCAGAGATATTAAAAAAATATATAATAGCATATGTAATAAAAATTCTGTAGTAACTATGGGGTTCTGTAAAGAGCGCTGGTGACCTAGTGGTAAGGAACTGTACTGCCATCCTGTATGCACATGGTTTGAATCCCTAGTTGCTCTGCTGGAGAAAGATGGGTGATCTCTTCTGATGTGGTTTACTGCCTGCCTCTAAAAACTTACTGAAGGGTCAGTTTCCACGCTAATACATCCAAAAAACAGCTACAAAGTTAGAGGCCTGACCGATAATTTAAAAATTCTAATGTTCTTTAATGGAAAAAAAAAGGAAAGAATATTCACTCTAGCGTATACTAGGGAGTCCTGGTGGTTTAGTAGTAAGAAACTGCAATGTAATTGCAAAGGCACAGGGTTTGAATCCACCATCAGCTACCTGATTGATCCATGAGACAAGGATGGACAATCTCTCAGGTTTGATTTACTGCCTCTGAAAACCCAATATCAGGTCAGCTATGAGTTGGTTCCAACTTGACAGTACATAACAACATAAACACCAACATATACTCAGTCTTGCCCTCAGAGAGTAGACGATCTCCTATTTGCTTGCTTTTAGTTCACAGTTTAACTTTCCGATTCCAGAAGGCATATTTAGTTTGAAACTGATAGATCTTGAATTAGGAAAATCTAGCTGGTAAGAAGGTGTAAAATTAATATGTTGTAAGAATTCATAAATTTTGTTCTGAAAACACGCTGCGTAGATTTAAATCACACATAAAACTCAAATTCTAAGTTTAGATGAAAATTATTTTTAAAAGACATTTCTGATAAAACCATTATTGTAGAATGAGTATGAGGATCCAAGGTGGGGGGTGGAAGCAGTGGGGTGAAGATGGGGGAATGTTGCACAATTTGATGGGTGGGGTGTGTGTGTGTGTGAAGGAAATTGGAAGGATCTTGTGTGAAAAACAATGTATTCAAACTTTGTAAATAAATCAGTATAAAATAAAAAAAGAAAAGACATTACTGAGAAATTGATTATACTTGTACCATAGTTGTTTTCTTTTTAAAAAATTTATTATTAATTTCAATGAAAACTTACAGAGACTTTGGATTTCCATTCATTCATTGTTGCACCTTTCTCCCCTCTCAATCCTAGTACACTACCCTCTTGGAAAAGTAAAAGAAAAATTCTTTCATTGTTTTAAAATCCTTCCCCCCAAGTCCACTCCACTATGCAGCCTTTGCTCTAGACTCCTGTAATGACAAAAATACCTAATCACATATCCCTTTTAAACAGTTTTCTCCCTCATCTGTTTCAACACAGTATACATTCTTGAACCCATCTTTCTCAGTCTCCCTCCAACCTTGATGTCAGTCCTATTTTACAACAGTGGCACCATGCAGTATTTGTCCTTTTGTGACTGAGATACTTCACACAGCATAATATCTTCCACGGTCACCCATTTTGAAGAATATTGCATGAGTTCCTTGTTTTTCAATGCAGTGTAGTATTCCACTGTGTGAATATACCACAGCTTCTCTATCCATTTGTTTGTTGATGGGCACTTAGGTTGTTTCCAACTCCTTTCTATTGTGAACAAAGCTGCGATAAACATGGGTATACATGCATAGTTACTTTCAATACTCTTTTTCACCTTTGAAAATGCATACTTTACCAATTGTCTCATAACTAGGAGATAGATTCTAAGCAATATCTGCTTTTCCTGGAGCAGTAAGAGAAAACTAACACAAAATTTATCATAAATAGTTATGATCAAAATAATTTCTTCAGTAAAATGAATACCAGGAATAAAAGGAATCTGATTTTGAGGGATATGAAATTGGGCTATAGTTTTTCCACCTTGAAAATGAAAAAAAACTAATATAATTAAAAAAGGTTTGCTCAAACTTTGAAAAGTTATCACACTAATCACAGGTAAAATGGAAAAATACATAATAATAACTATGTATGTTGTTGTTGTTGTTGTTATGTGCCACGAGTCACCTGAAACTCATAGTGACTATTTGTACAACAGACCTAAACCCTGCTCTATCCCTGGCCAATCTTATGTCTCTGACACACCTATCCTCATTACTCCAGTGACTGAATCAATCCATCTTATTGAGGGTCTTCCTCTCCTGCGCTATCCCTCCACCCTCCCAAGCATGATGTCCCTCTCTAAGTACTGGCATCACCTTGCAACATGTATGCCAGACAAAGCTTCAGAATCCTTGCCTCCAAGGAGAAGCCTGGCTTCACCCTTTCCAGGATGAACTTGTTTGTTCTCCTAGCAGTCCATGGTATATTCAATACTCTTCTCCAGCACCATAGCTCAAAGCCATCAACTCTCCTATCATCCCTAGTCACTTTTCAGTTGTCTGATGCATAGCAAGTAATTCCAATACAGACAATGGCCTGTATCAGGTGCACCTTAGTCTCCAGACTGACATCATTACTCTTCAGTAGTTTGGAGAGGTCTCTGACAGCAGACTTAGTTACTAGATGTAAATATTACAGTATTTTATAAAACTACATATACACAGTTATAGGGGACCTCTGGTGGCCTAGTGGCAAAGAGCTGCAACTACAATCCCGGAGGCGAATAGTTCAAATCCACCAGATGCTCTGCCGGGGAAGGAGGGACAATCTCCTCCTGTACCAGTCAGATCCGCTTTGACGGTACACGCACACAAAAATAATAAAATAAAAAACAATAAAAAAATAAAAAAACCCCTACATATACACAGTTATAAAGGACTGTTGAGTCAACTACATCTCAAAACATTCTGATGAACAACGGGTTGAAACCCTGCCCCATCCTGTACCATTGTCATGATCTCTTCCCCATTCAAACCCATTGTTGTTGTCACTGAGTCAACCCATCTCATTGAGAAGCAAAACACCAGAGAATTGTAACCTGAGGTTACAGTGAAACTCCCTATAAACTCTGTTACCAGAGTGCGAGATCTTCTTTTTCTCACTCTGCATGCATGCACACACACACACACACACACACACACACACACACACTTTAGTAGCTTAGTGTATAATGTGCCAGGCTGCTCAGTGTAAGGTATTTCATTGAAATTCACCAGGCATTCCATGGGAAAAAGATGGGTCTTCTCTTCTCGTAAAGATGTATAGATGTATAACTTATGAAACCCTATGAGTCAAAGTCAACTCAGTAACAGTGAGTTTGGTTCAGTTGTTTGTGTGTGTGTGGGGGGGAACTGTGTGTGTACGTGCATGCGTGTGTGTGTGTGTAATAACATATCATATAAATATGAAGACACACTGGTGGGGTAGTGAGTTACATGCTGGGCTGCTACGATGAGGGGTGGCAGTCTGAAGCCACTGGTTGCTATACAGGAGAAAGGTGGGCAGCCTCACACTATCAAGTTTTACAACCTCGAGTAACCCAGTAGAACCAACTAGATGATGTTAAGTATACAAGTACACATTTCTCAGAATTATGTACATTTTGAAACATTCCTCAGTTATAAAAAAGAAAATGATTATTTTCCTCTTTCAAAGAACTTTGATATCAGTTTAGCTAAACGTATTCCTTTTAGAGAGAAGTGAAATTGAGGTCTGGTCCTTCCCAGAATCAAGAGATCCTATAATATTTTTATCATAATGCTTTACATGAATGGCAAAGAGTGCATACAAAGAAAATACTCAAATCTACAGATACAAATTATTTATATCTAAGCTCACAGGATGCCATAGCAAAGAGTGATGATTAAACGATAAAATGAACATTGATTTGAAAATTGTTATTAATATTTGCAAGAGGCTGAATAATTCTTTGGAAAAGGAAAATTTGAATATTCAGGAGATAAACAACAATGTTGGTTTTTTCCTTTTCCTTGAAAATAAAGCTTGGTTTTCTGAGACATGTCATTGGCATTTCTTTCTCACTGCAGCAAATCCCTTCTGTTGGGGAAGAAATAGAAACCAGCGCCACATACCTTGTGTATGTTTTGGTGCATGGCAGCTTCTGTCGGGCTATGGATGCAAGCTTTGGAGTTACCAGGGGCAATGGAGGCAGGAAATGCATTTTGGGCTAAAACATAAATAAAATAAACATAAACAGTATTTTAGAAAACAAACCACCAGGAAAAACCCCTTAAGATGTTAATAGAGAGCTGTCCTCTGTCGGAGGTGCTGAGAATCCTCTGTGTATAGAGCTGTAGCTGTTATTAGGAATGAAGCCCAGTCAGTGCATTCTGCAGGTGGTTTCTCTCATTATTTCTTCTACCTTTTGCCTCTTGGCCAATTTTTCCCTTGTCTGTGTCTCTACCTCAAAGTGGGTAAGGAATCAAGCTGATAAGTGACTGCAAGATTTGAGCAATCTGTAGCTTTGGTAAGAAGTTAAGAAACACAGAACATGGGTGCAATTAAACAATCAAGTCTTTGGAGATTTCAAATGTTTGTTCTTTGCCCCCTTGTCACTATCAAGAATTTAACATTGCTTCATGTTTTGCTGTTTTCTAAAAACTTTATCACTCTCAAATAAAGACTTTCGCTTACAAGTGATAGATGCCAAGAACAATTCTCCAGGAGGGAGTTGAGTATTCTCTGGAGAGTACACAGCTACAAGCATGTAACAAATCACTCCAAAATGGAATGACTTTAAAAGACCATTTTCAGTGGGGACCCTTTTATTTTCTCTCATCGCTAACATGGGTTAGAGAATTAGGACAGTGCACCACAGGGATGACTTTGCTGTGTTCTACAACGACTTGAGCCTCTTCTGGGAATACTAGACATTGCCAGAAGGAGCAAAAATAAGGAGTAACTCAGTGCTAACCCAATAAAAGCTACAGTCATCAAGTCAGCTCCGACTCATGGTGACTCCCTATTGGGTTTCTGAGGCTATAAATCTTTACAGGAAGAGACTGCCCATCTTTCATGGAGTAGCTGGTAGATTTGAACTGCCGATCTTTTGATTAGCAGCCCCATCTGTTACGCTGCATGTCACCAGAGCTCTTTAACTCAATGGTGAGGGACAGAGGTCATTGAGACATTGGCACTCATGCATGTGGTGGTCCAAACTGCTGATTCTTGGTTGTGGCTTTAATGACGGCTGTCAGAGAAACACACACCTGTGACATCCTCACATGGCCTGGGGACACTCAGAACACAACAGCTTCAGGCTTGGTCTCTAGGAAGGCAAAGGAAGGCAACTGTCTTATTTGAAAGCCAGGTGGAAGCTGTGTCCCTTTTAGGGTCAGGTCTCAAAAGTTACATTGTGTCATTTCTGCTATGATATCAAGCCTGCTCACCTACTGATGTCAAAGTCACATTTTAAGAAGGGAAGGTGGGATGGGGAGATATTGCTGTGGCCATCTTAGGAAAATATAGTCCCACAATAGGAAAATAAGGAAAAAAGAATTCAGGTGAGCCTATCAAAGCATGTTGTCTAAGCCTTATTCCAAAGGAGAAGAAATGAAGACATGATCTTTAACTAGGAAAAAAGGTCACATGATGCAGGGCTCTCAGATGCAAAAGAATTCATACTGCTTGTTGTGTTGTTGTGTACTGTAGAGTTGGAACTGACCCATAGCTGACCTTCCGGTGCGTTCTCAGAGACAGTTGCCTGGGAGGAGATTGTTCATCCTTCTCCCATGGAGCAGCTGGTGGACTCCAACCGTGTATTTTCAGGATTGCAGTGCAGCTTCTTGCCACTAGGCCACTATTGTCAAGTGTTTTGGAGTCTGAATAGACTCATGGCTGACCCTCCGGCAGGTTTTCTGCGGTAGTAAATCACACAAGAGGAGACTGTATACCTTTCTCCCCTGAAGCAGCTGTTGTTGTTATATGTAGCCTAGTCACTTGCGACTCATAGCGACACTATGTACAACAGCCCAAAACTCTGCTCTATCCTGTGCCAATCACACTGTCTCCAACACTCCCATCCTGATTACCCCAGTGACTAAATCATTCCACCTCATAAAGGGCCTTCCCCTTCTGCGCTGTCCTTCCATCCTCCCAAGCATGATGTTCCTCTCCAAGGATCCGTCTCTCCTTACAACATGTCCAAAGTATATTAGATGGAGGCTCAGAATTCTTGCCTCCAAGGAGAAGCCCAGTTTAACCCTCTCTAGGATGAATCTGTTTGGTTTCTTGGCAGTCCATGGTACCCTCAATACTCTTCTCCAGCACCACAGCTCAAAGGCATCAATTCTCCTTCAATCCTCCCTAGTCATTGTCCAACTCTCTGATGCATAACAAGTGATAGCAAAGACCATGGCCTGTATCAGATGCACCTTAGTTTCCAGAGAGACACCATTGCTCTTCAGAACTTTGGAAAGGTCCCTAACAGCTGACTTCCCCATCGCAATACGTCTTTTAATTTCCTGGTGCCGAGAGTGTTGACTGTAGAGCCGTGTAAGCTCAAGCTGTGAACAATCTCAATCTCTTCACCATCCATCCTGATGCTGCCAGTTGGTCCAGTGGTGAGAATCTTTGTCTTCTTGGCTTGAGCCTCAATCCATATTGAAGGCTGCAGTCCTTCACCCTCTGCAACAAGCACTTCAGGTCCTCCCTAGTTCCAGCAAGCAGGGTTGTGTCATCTGCATAACACAGATTGTTGATAGATCTTCCACCAATCCTGACCCCACATTTCTCCTCATAGAGCCCAGCCTCCCGGACAAGATGTTCTGCATACAGGTTGAAAAGGTATGGAGACAGGATGCATCCCTGGCGTATGCCCTTCCCAATTTTGAATCATGCAGTGTTTCCTTGCTCGGTTCTGATGACTGCCTCTTGGTTAAGTATAGGTTTCTCATTAGCATAATCGTGTATTCTGGGATTCCCATTCTTCTCAGAGTCAGCCACAGTTTGTTAGGATCCACACAGTCAAACACCTTTGCATAATCAATGAAACACAGATAGACATTCCTCTTGTATTCTCTGCTTTCAGCTAAGATCCATCTAACATCAGTTACAATATCCCTAGTACCTCGACCCCTTCTAAACCCAGCCTGGACTTCTGGCAGTTCTCTTCTGATGTGCTGTTCCAGTCGTTTTTGGATAATCTTCAGTAGAATCTTGCTTGCATGTGAAATCAATGAGATTGTTCTATAGTTTCCACACTCTGTTGGGTCACCCTTCTTTGGGATGGGAACAATCATCTGCCTTTGGGTTGGCAGCACAGCTCCTTAACCATGAGACCAGAAGAGAGATCTCTACTACTGTAAAATAACAAAACAACAAACCTAGCTCCACTATGCCAATCCCAATTGGTGCCAACCCTGCACTGGGTTTCTGAGGCAGGAGGAGACCACCTGATCTTCGTTCCATGTAATGGACAGTCATTCTCCTTTGATCTTTCTACCTTTAGCCTGCTTCAAGCAACTTTAAGAGCTAGCTGGAGTTTTAAATCCCCTCCTATAAGTACCTGCCATTTTAAAGACTTAAGATAAATCAGTCAGCCTGGGTCTTCAGTACATTCAGCAGGTATTTCTTGAGTGACTACCTAATGTTGCTTTAGGTGCTGGAAATCTACAGCATCAAGTAAAATGAAAAAAAAATCTAATTTCATAGAATTTATATGTGGGGAGTATTGAGGGAAAATAATCCCTAAATATGTAAGCAAAATATAGAGACAGTCAAGTGATGGTTAAGATCTACAGCAGAAAATGAAGTGGATAGTGATTCAAACCATCTGGAAACTATCCAGATGCTCATTAGTTATTTCTGTTATTATATTCTGTCAAATTGGAAATAAGTCATATCTGACTCACAAGCTGTTTTTTCAGAGGCTTTAAATTGCATGAGACGAGATTGCCCATATCCCCCCCACCCCCAAGAGCTCCTGGTAGATTAAAACTGAGTGCCTTTTGTTTGGTCTTATAATTCCTTATCTCTAAGCCACTAGAGCTCAACAAAGGGATAAATAAAACACTGGAGGAAGCTGTCTATTTTTCTTTCAAGGAGTCGATGGTGGATTTAAACCATAAACTTACTGATTGTTGTTACTGTTGTTATGTGCTGTCGAGTCACCTGCAACCCATAGTGACTGTAAGTACAGCAGCTCTGAAGTCTGTCCTGTCCTGAGTTAGTCTCACTAATTCCAACATACTAACTCCCATTGTCCCAGTACAATGCATCTCATCCAGAGTCTTCCTCTCTTGCACTGTCCTTCCACCCTTCCAAGCATGATGTCCTCCTCCAAGGACCCATCTCTCCTGGCCACGTGTCCAAGTATGTGAGAGGAAGCTTCAAAATCCTTGCCTCCAACGAGAAACTTGGTTTCACTCTCTATAAGACAGACCTATTTGTTTTATTGGCAGTTCACGATATGTTCAAGACTTCTCCAGCACCACAATCCGAGGGCATCGATTCTTCTTCTGTCATCCTTAGTTATTGTCCAGCTCTCTGATGAGTGATTAGTAGCCTGATAGATTTCACACTACACCAACCAGGCTCCATATTTTCAGATATAATAGAATCTTCATATTATCCAAATTCCTATGATAAGACTTATTAAACATAATGCCTATTTATTTTTATATAATATGAAAACATATATCTGAACAGCAACTGTTAGATTTCTTTTCTAGAGACAGTATTGGGACAATGTCGTATTATATTTCATATAAAAGTAACTTAATGGATTTAATGTTTTTAAAAAAATCTGTATGTCTGACCAGATGTATTAATTAGTAGAGTTACTAGAATAACTAGTTAATTGAAGAATGACACAATTGCAGGACAAATTATAAGGATGTATGACCAACACGGAGTTAGTCCCCCACACAGGTTATATGGAACATTCAAGGTTCCCTAAACCCAATTGCCCACTCTCCAGGAAATCCCTTCAGATAAACTGTAAAGACTCTTCCCTGTTCCAAAGTCTTCAGCTCTTACAAGGAAAATCTGGGCCATCTCGGTTCTTAATCTGGACCTGTCCAGATCTTGTATTCCTGAAGGGAGAAGAGAAAAAAAATAAATCAAACCCAAACACATCAACAGTTCACTTGCTTCAGTCTGTGTGCCCCAGGCCCTATGATTAGGCATGCTTTCTGAGAGTCCCACTTTGCCAACAAAGGC